TATAAAATTATAAAAATTTATAAATTTTAGAAAAATTAAAGTTAATTTTTGAAATTTAAGTAAATTTAAAAATTAATATAAAGATAAAATTAATTTAATTAAATTTTAAAATTTAATTAAATTGTGAACATGTTCTAAAATTAATTTGAAATTTTTAATTTAAAACATGTTCTAATTAAAAATTTTAGATTCAATTAAATTATAATTAAATTAAAATTTAATATAAAATTAATTTTAAAATATGTTCTAATTAAAAATTAAAATTTAAAGCATGTTCTAATTAATTTAATTATAACATGTTTAATACATGTTCTAATTTAAATTTAAAATTAGAACATGTTATAATTAGAATATGTTCTAATTTTTAAAAACATGTTCTAAAATTAATATGATTAGAATATATGTTTTAATTAAATTTAGAGCATATGTTCCAAATTAATTTAGATCACGTGTGTTCTAAATTTTGAACATGTTCTAAATTTATTAGGGACATGTTCTATATTATTTAGAACATGTTCTAAATTTAGAACGCATGTTCTAAACTAAATTTAATTTAAAACACATGTTCTAAATAAATTTAATTGATTTAATTATAACATTTTCTAAACTTAAATTTAGAACATGTGTTCTAAACTAAATAAATAGTTTAGAACATCTAGTTGTTTAATTTAGAACATGGAAATTAAACTAAATTAGTTTAGAACATGATATAAACTAAATAATTAAATTAGAACATGTCCCAAATAAATTTGTGTTCTAAATTTAGAACACAAGTTCTAATTTAGAATATTCTAAATTAGAAAAGGAGCTATTTATTTGGGAGGAACACAAATAGTGTTCCTATTTATTATTTAAATTTAGAACACTACTTGCAAACCATAAGAAGAGTAGGGAAGGAGCTATTTATTATTTATGGAGTAAATAGGTGTCTGTAGGCAAGTTTAATGGAGAACAAGCAAGATAGCCATAGAGAGGATGACCATTAGTCTGAGTCTTAGTATCAATTTGGAATTCTTATCTTCCACTTGCAAATCATTAGTACAAGAACCAGAATGAGAGCCGTGATGTAAGTCAATTTTTCCTTGCATAATATAATAGATCTTGCTGTGTCTGGGGATCCTAATTGCCATGGAGCTCCGGTAGCCACATCATTTGTGTTAATCTTTGGAGACCTTGACTCTATGCCTTTCCCAGCAGAGAGCACAAAAATGACGGGTGTTAACACTCCATCATCGATCACCATGTAGGTACCGAGCAAGACAATGAATGTGAGAAAGGATGAGCCTTTGAGCTCTTCTCCAAGATCTTCTTGGCCTTGGATTGCAAGGATCCTCCATTGCTCAGAATCAAACCTCTTGGTTTGGCAACTGATCATGCTTCTCATGTCCATGCATCTTGACGTCGAGGTGATCAATTTGATGATATTTGGGCATCAAAACAACATTTTCTAGTGAAACTTTTGAGATGAGATCTAATTTGATTGTTTAGAGTCTTGGCTCTGTGTAAACTTTTTCCTTTATTATTTCGTAAAATACATGTTAGGGAAATTTTTAAGATATTAATATCTCAAAATTTAATAGAAACCATTCAAATTTTAAAGGGTTAAATCTAGTAAACTCAAAATTTTAAAATTTTAATTTTAAATAATCATCATGTGTTCCCGAAAAATTTAAACTGAAAAGATCCTACTAAATAGGTATGTTGAAAGAGGGAGTAGATAAACATTACCGGCGAGACCATAGGATATGCGCTATGCAAGTAAGGGAAGGGAAGACTTGGATTTAATTGAAAAATCGGCCAACCTCCTCCGCATAAAATTTCTATACTTCCCCTATCAAACCATCCAATTTTGAATAGTGTGAGATGGCCCAATTAAATGTCACATCTCTACATTATTTTATTTTTTATACAAATTATTTGGCACTAAATTGTGGTCCGCACCTCTCTTAAACTCACACATGTAAAAAAATATAAACAATAACATTTTTAATAAAACAAAATGATAAAAATACCCGTGAAAGTTTAAAAGTAGTTTTTTTGTCTTTCTATTTTGCCAACATATTCTTTTTAATATTTTTTTTAGGTATGCCCCATTGAGAAGATGGCGCCTACCAAATTTCTTTTTCATACAATTTATAGAAAAAAAGCTAAAGATAAAATACTCCAAGGCGTTGGATCTAAATCTGGATGGGAGGGGAAATATATATCTTCTATGTTGTAGGGGACGGTATAGAATTTAGATCAAGTGACCCACTGACTGTTTGATCTAGATACGACGACTTAGGGTTTTTTTTATTTTTTAAGAAAATGAAATTTGGCACGTGCCATCTTCTCAATGGGGCGCACCTAAAAAAATTATTAAAAAGAATTTTTTGACAAAATAGAAAGATCAAAATACCCTTTGAAAATTTCAAG